GAGCGAGGTGCGGGAGCAGATCAACAGCAAAGTGGCGGAGTGGAGGGAGGAGGGGAAGGCTGACATCATCCCCGGGGTGAGCAGACGTCGCCATCGTCGTCAGGAACATCGCCAACACCACCAGCAAGCAGCAGCAGCAGCAGCGTCGCCACCACCACCATCATCATCATGACATCACCGCCACCACCACTACCACCATCATCACTATGATTAACACCAGCAAGCAGCAGCAGCAGCATCACGACTATCATCATCACCACCACCACCATCATGACATCACCGCCACCATCATCATGACATCACCGCCACCATCATCATGACATCACCGCCACCACCACTACCACCATCATCACTATGATTAACACCAGCAGCAAGCAGCAGCAGCAGCGTCACGACTATCATCATCACCACCACCACCATCATGACATCACCGCCACCATCATCATGACATCACCGCCACCATCATCATGACATCACCGCCACCACCACTACCACCATCATCACTATGATTAACACCAGCAAGCAGCAGCAGCAGCATCACGACTATCATCATCACCACCACCACCATCATGACATCACCGCCACCATCATCATGACATCACCGCCACCATCATCATGACATCACCGCCACCACCACTACCACCATCATCACTATGATTAACACCAGCAAGCAGCAGCAGCAGCATCACGACTATCATCATCACCACCACCACCATCATGACATCACCGCCACCATCATCATGACATCACCGCCACCATCATCATGACATCACCGCCACCACCACTACCACCATCATCACTATGATTAACACCAGCAAGCAGCAGCAGCATCACGACTATCATCATCACCACCACCATCATCATGACATCACCGCCACCATCATCATGACATCACCGCCACCATCATCATGACATCACCGCCACCACCACTACCACCATCATCACTATGATTAACACCAGCAAGCAGCAGCAGCATCACGACTATCATCATCACCACCACCACCATCATGACATCACCGCCACCATCATCATGACATCACCGCCACCATCATCATGACATCACCGCCACCACCACTACCACCATCATCACTATGATTAACACCAGCAAGCAGCAGCAGCAGCATCACGACTAGCATCATCACCGCCACCACCACCACCATCATCATGACATCATCATCACCGCCACCACCACTACCACCACCACCACCATCATCATCATGACATCATCATCACCCGCCACCACCACTACCACCACCACCACCATCATCATCATGAGATCATCATCACCCGCCACCACCACTACCACCACCACCACCATCATCATCATGACATCATCATCACCCGCCACCACCACTACCACCACCACCACCACCATCATCATCATGACATCATCATCACCGCCACCACCACTACCACCACCACCACCATCATCATCATGACATCATCATCACCGCCACCACCACTACCACCACCACCACCATCATCATCATGACATCATCATCACCGCCACCACCACTACCACCACCACCACCATCATCATCATGACATCATCATCACCGCCACCACCACTACCACCACCACCACCATCATCATCATGACATCATCATCACCGCCACCACCACTACCACCACCACCACCATCATCATCATGACATCATCATCACCGCCACCACCACTACCACCACCACCACCATCATCATCATGACATCATCATCACCGCCACCACCACTACCACCACCACCACCATCATCATCATGACATCATCATCACCGCCACCACCACTACCACCACCACCACCATCATCATCATGACATCATCATCACCGCCACCACCACTACCACCACCACCACCATCATCATCATGACATCATCATCACCGCCACCACCACTACCACCACCACCACCATCATCATCATGACATCATCATCACCGCCACCACCACTACCACCACCACCACCATCATCATGACATCATCATCACCGCCACCACCACACCACCACCACCACCATCATCATCATGACATCATCATCACCGCCACCACCACTACCACCACCACCACCATCATCATCATGACATCATCATCACCGCCACCACCACTACCACCACCACCACCATCATCATCATGACATCATCATCACCGCCACCACCACCACCACCATCATCATCATGACATCATCATCACCGCCACCACCACTACCACCACCACCACCATCATCATCATGACATCATCATCACCGCCACCACCACTACCACCACCACCACCATCATCATCATGACATCATCATCACCGCCACCACCACTACCACCACCACCACCATCATCATCATGACATCATCATCACCGCCACCACCACTACCACCACCACCACCATCATCATCATGACATCATCATCACCGCCACCACCACTACCACCACCACCACCATCATCATCATGACATCATCATCACCGCCACCACCACTACCACCACCACCACCATCATCATCATGACATCATCATCACCGCCACCACCACTACCACCACCACCACCATCATCACCACCACCATCATCATCATGACATCATCATCACCGCCACCACCACTACCACCACCACCACCATCATCATCATGACATCATCATCACCGCCACCACCACTACCACCACCACCACCACCATCATCATCATGACATCATCATCACCGCCACCACCACTACCACCACCACCACCATCATCATCATGACATCATCATCACCGCCACCACCACTACCACCACCACCACCATCATCATCATGACATCATCATCACCGCCACCACCACTACCACCACCACCACCACCATCATCATCATGACATCATCATCACCGCCACCACCACTACCACCACCACCACCATCATCATCATGACATCATCATCACCGCCACCACCACTACCACCACCACCACCATCATCATCATGACATCATCATCACCGCCACCACCACTACCACCACCACCACCATCATCATCATGACATCATCATCACCGCCACCACCACTACCACCACCACCACCATCATCATCATGACATCATCATCATCACCGCCACCACCACTACCACCACCACCACCATCATCATCATGACATCATCATCACCGCCACCACCACTACCACCACCACCACCATCATCATCATGACATCATCATCACCGCCGTTGCCGCCAACTCCACCATCATCACATCGTCATCACCGTCACCACCACTACCACCACCATCATCACTGCCACCACCATCATCACTATAGTTAACACCAACAGCAGCATCACAACTATCATCATCATCACCGCCACCACCACTACCACCATCATGACATCATCATCACCACCACCACCACTACCATCATCACTGCCACCACCATCATCACTATGATTAACAGCAGCAGCAGCGTCGTCAAAACTATCATCATCGACACAGCCATCACTACCGTCATCACTATGATTAACAGCAGGAGCGTCGTCAAAACTATCATCACATCACCGCCATCACCACCGTCATCACTATGATTAACAGCAGGAGCAGCGTCATCAAAACTATCATCATCATCACCGTCATCACCACCATCATCACTATGATTAACAGCAGCAGCAGCGTCGTCAAAACTATCATCATCATCACCGCCATCACCACCACCGTCATCACTATGATTAACAGCAGCAGCAGCGTCGTCAAAACTATCATCATCATCACCGCCATCACCACCGCCATCACTATGATTAACAGCAGCAGCAGCGTCGTCAAAACTATCATCATCACATCACCGCCATCACCACCACCGTCATCACTATGATTAACAGCAGGAGCAGCGTCATCACAACTATCATCATCATCACCGTCATCACCACCGTCATCACTATGATTAACAGCAGCAGCAGCGTCATCACAACTATCATCATCATCACCGTCATCAACACCATCATCACTATGATTAACAGCAGCAGCAGCGTCATCACAACTATCATCATCATCACCGCCATCACCACCGTCATCACTATGATTAACAGCAGGAGCAGCGTCATCACAACTATCATCATCATCACCGCCATCACCACCGTCATCACTATGATTAACAGCAGGAGCGTCGTCAAAACTATCATCATCACATCACCGCCATCACCACCGCCATCACTATGATTAACAGCAGCAGCTGCGTCATCACAACTATCATCATCATCACCGCCATCACCACCATCATCACTATGATTAACAGCAGCAGCAGCGTCATCACAACTATCATCATCATCACCGCCAACACCACCGTCATCACTATGATTAACAGCAGGAGCAGCGTCATCACAACTATCATCATCATCACCGCCATCACCATCGTCATCACTATGATTAACAGCAGGAGCAGCGTCATCACAACTATCATCATCATCACCGCCATCACCACCGTCATCACTATGATTAACAGCAGCAGCGTCATCACAACTTTCATCATCATCACCGCCATCACCACCGTCATCACTATGATTAACAGCAGCAGCGTCATCACAACTATCATCATCATCACCATCATCACCACCGTCATCACTATGATTAACAGCAGCAGCAGCGTCGTCACGACTATCATCATCACATCACCGCCATCACCACCGCCATCACTATGATTAACAGCAGGAGCAGCGTCGTCAAAACTATCATCATCACATCACCGCCATCACCACCACCGTCATCACTATGATTAACAGCAGCAGCGTCATCACAACTATCATCATCATCACCGCCATCATCACCATCATCACTATGATTAACAGCAGCAGCGTCATCACAACTATCATCATCATCACCGCCATCACCACCGTCATCACTATGATTAACAGCAGGAGCAGCGTCATCACAACTATCATCATCATCACCGCCATCACCACCGTCATCACTATGAGTAACAGCAGCAGCGTCATCACAACTATCATCATCATCACCGCCATCACCACCGTCATCACTATGATTAACAGCAGCAGCGTCATCACAACTATCATCATCATCACCATCATCACCACCGTCATCACTATGATTAACAGCAGCAGCAGCGTCGTCACGACTATCATCATCACATCACCGCCATCACCACCGCCATCACTATGATTAACAGCAGGAGCAGCGTCGTCAAAACTATCATCATCACATCACCGCCATCACCACCACCGTCATCACTATGATTAACAGCAGCAGCGTCATCACAACTATCATCATCATCACCGCCATCATCACCATCATCACTATGATTAACAGCAGGAGCAGCGTCGTCAAAACTATCATCATCACATCACCGCCATCACCACCACCGTCATCACTATGATTAACAGCAGCAGCGTCATCACAACTATCATCATCATCACCGCCATCACCACCGTCATCACTATGAGTAACAGCAGCAGCGTCATCACAACTATCATCATCATCACCGCCATCACCACCGTCATCACTATGATTAACAGCAGCAGCGTCATCACAACTATCATCATCATCACCATCATCACCACCGTCATCACTATGATTAACAGCAGCAGCAGCGTCGTCACGACTATCATCATCACATCACCGCCATCACCACCGCCATCACTATGATTAACAGCAGGAGCAGCGTCGTCAAAACTATCATCATCACATCACCGCCATCACCACCACCGTCATCACTATGATTAACAGCAGCAGCGTCATCACAACTATCATCATCATCACCGCCATCATCACCATCATCACTATGATTAACAGCAGCAGCGTCATCACAACTATCATCATCATCACCGCCATCACCACCGTCATCACTATGATTAACAGCAGGAGCAGCGTCATCACAACTATCATCATCATCACCGCCATCACCACCGTCATCACTATGAGTAACAGCAGCAGCGTCATCACAACTATCATCATCATCACCGCCATCACCACCGTTATCACTATGATTAACAGCAGCAGCGTCATCACAATTATCCTCGTTAACATCGCCGCCAAGTTGACCACCACGACCACCATCGTCACAACTATGATCAACATTGGCAGCAGTAGCGTCGTCGTCATCCGAATCATCGCGCGTGTCTCTGGTGCTGTTTTATAGACCAGGTACAACATGCTTATGGCCCATGTCTCCGTGTGGCTGTCTCCATGTGTGTCTCCGTGTGTGTCTCCGTGTCTGTCTCCGTGTCTGTCTCCGTGTCTGTCTCCGTGTCTGTCTCCGTGTCTGTCTCCATGTCTGTCCCTGTGTCTGTCTCCGCGTGTCTGTTTATAGACAAGGTACAACATGCTGATGACCCGTGTCTCTGTGTGTATCTCTGTGTGTCTCTGCGTGTGTCCCCGTGTGTGTCTACGTGACTGTCACAGGTGCTGTTCATAGACGAGGTTCACATGCTGATGACCCGTGTCTCTGTGTGTCTCTGTGTGTCTCTGTGTGTGTCTCTGTGTGTCTCTGTGTGTGTCTCTGTGTGTCTCTGTGTGTGTCTCTGTGTCTCTGCGTGTGTCTGCGTGACCGTCACAGGTGCTGTTCATAGACGAGGTTCACATGCTGATGACCGTGTCTCTGTGTGTCTCTGTGTGTGTCTCTGTGTGTGTCTCTGTGTGTGTCTCTGTGTGTGTCTCTGTGTGTCTGTGTGTCTCTGTGTGTCTCTGTGTGTCTCTGTGTGTCTCTGTGTGTCTCTGTGTGTGTCTGCGTGACCGTCACAGGTGCTGTTCATAGACGAGGTTCACATGCTGGACATGGAGTGCTTCTCGTTCTTGAACCGAGCCCTCGAGAGCGACATGGCTCCCGTGCTCATCATGGCCACCAACCGCGGCATCACCAGGTGATGGCACGACGATGAGGATGTTTTACTATGGTGGTGGTGGTGGTGATGGTGGTGGTGGTGGTGATGGTGGTGGTGGTGGTGGTGATGGTGGTGGTGGTGGTGATGGTGATGGTGGTGGTGATGGTGGTGGTGGTGGTGGTGATGGTGGTGGTGGTGGTGGTGGTGGTGATGGTGGTGGTGGTGGTGGTGATGGTGATGGTGGTGGTGGTGGTGGTGATGGTGGTGGTGGTGGTGGTGATGGTGGTGGTGGTGGTGGTGATGGGGTGGTGGTGGTGGTGTGGTGATGGTGGTGGTGATGGTGGTGATGGTGGTGATGGTGATTGGGCTGGTGGTGATGGTGATATTGATGATGATTTTGCAGTTGTGATGATGATGGTGGTGGTGATTGGGCTGGTGGTGATGATGATATTGATGATGATTTTGCATTTGTGATGATGATGATGGTGGTGGTGATGGTGATTGGGCTAGTGGTGATGATGATGATATTGATGATGATTTTGCTTTTGTGATGGTGGTGATGGTCGTGATGGTGGTGATAGTGGGACTGATTTTGGTTACGGTGATTGTGTGGTTGTTGTGGTAGTGATGGTGTGGCAGTAGTGTAGTGCAGTGGATCGCGCTACAGACCCTGTTTACCGAGTTCGATTCCCGCTCACGGCCAACACCAGTGACAGTTGTCTGAACAAGTCCTGGGCCTCCCCTAGGTCGACTCAGCCTCAATTGATTACCTGGGTGTGGTGAGTAAAACATCACCACTAGGGAGACAAAGGCGGCCGGGCCTGGTGCTGGCCACCCCACCCCCTCGTGTTGAGTACCAGACAACGTCTCAACTCATCAGCGCTCCCAACACACAGACGCGTATCTTGATTTAAAGCTTTCGTGACTGCAGGGATTCATCTTCTTGGTTCTTTCTTGGTTGTCTTCACCTGAGGACGGCTGCTTGCGTTGTGGCCGAAACGTCGTGAGAATTATTTTATTATTTCCCTTCTACGTAACTTTACCGAAAGAACCAAGAAGATGAATCCCTGCAGTCACGAAAGAAGCTTTAAATCGAAATTGTATTATGTTTTATTTTTATTATTTTATTATTTCCCTTTGTGAGAATTGTATTTTATTATGTTTTATTTTTATTATTTTATTATTTCCCGTCTACGTGACTTTACCAAAAGAACCAAGAAGATGAATCCCTGCAGTCACGAAAGCTTTAAATCGAAATTTTATTTATTCTTACACGCTTTTATTTAACTCACTCTGTTGTCGTTGTCGTATCCTCAAATCTTGTAACTCAATTTTAACCTATACTTATGTCATACTGATGACAATACAGTATTCTATCATTAAAACGAAAAAATATACATTTTAAACATTATTTTTTTACACGCTTTTATTTAACTCACGTTGTTGTTGTTGTCGTCGTATCCTCAAATCTTGTACCTCAATTTTAACCCACTTCCCAATGTGATAGACTGCAAACTTTACCGAAAGAACCAAGAAGATGCTGTAGAGGAGTTTTACACCCCTAGCTGCCACTGCTATTCAGAATGGCCTGAAATCAAATGTTTTCGCTCCTGATGACCGCAGCAAAGTATGATCTTGTGTTTTGATTTAGTGTGCCGATCTTAAAGGTGCATTGAAAAATGTTGATACTGCTACTGATACTCCTGCTGCTGTTGTGGAGTGACTCATGCAGCCAGCTATGGCTGCAGGGTTTGGTGGTGGTACATGTTGTTTATATCGTTTATTGTGAAAATTCCGTCACAGTTTCTATGATCACTGTTTCATTGCTTTTATGGCTTTATTTTGGTGATTTTGAAAAGTGTTTTGGTTTGGCCATGTTTGTGTTGTTGTAGTAGTACAGAGTTAGACTGATGGCCTTAATCTAAGTTGTCTTGTGGTTGTGGTTGTTGTTGTTGTTTGACTTGCATTCCACTGGGATTTTAGAAAAGTTTTTTGGTTTGGCCATGTCTGTGTTGTTGTAGTACAGAGTTAGACTGATGGCCTTAATCTAAGTTGTCTTGTGGTTGTTGTTGTTGTTTGACTTGCATGCCACTGGGATTTTTGAAAAGTGTATTGGTTTGGCCATGTCTGTGTTGTTGTAGTACAGAGTTAGACTGATGGCCTTAATCTAAGTTGTCTTGTGGTTGTTGTTGTTAGACTTGCATCCCACTGGGATTTTTGAAAAGTGTATTGGTTTGGCCATGTCTGTGTTGTTGTAGTACAGAGTTAGACTGATGGCCTTAATCTAAGTTGTCTTGTGGTTGTTGTTGTTAGACTTGCATCCCACTGGGATTTTTGAAAAGTGTATTGGTTTGGCCATGTCTGTGTTGTTGTAGTACAGAGTTAGACTGATGGCCTTAATCTAAGTTGTCTTGTGGTTGTTGTTGTTAGACTTGCATCCCACGGGGATTTTTGCACACAACGTTGGTGTACGGTGCTTTTTCTGGAAGACTTTGCAGTTTTTTTCCTGGATTTTTCTGTTTGCGCTCAGTCACATTAAGATGTTGTCTTGTTCGTGTTTTTGTTTGTTGCGGTTGCACCCGATTCAAGAGCCGCATGGCTCACAGGGCTCTACCTAATACACTGAAACACTCTGAGATCTCCTTTACCAGTGGCAAAATACAGTAATAGGTTTTTACCCTTTTAACTGGTACATCATCAGAGTTAAATTTCGATTTAAAGCTTTCGTGACTGCAGGGATTCATCTTCTTGGTTCTTGCGGTAAAGTCACGTAGAAGGGAAGTAATAAAATAATAAAAATAAAACATAAAACAATTCTCACGACGTTTCGGCCACAACGCAAGCAGCCGTCCTCAGGTGAAAAACCAGGTCCGTCGAGGCGACAGATCATCAGAGTTGTTTCTTTTTGTTGGCATTTTGACTTCTTGTGTTGAGGTTATTGCAAACATAATGCCTTGTATAAAGGTGTCAGATTTTGTACCAGTTGAAAGGGTAAACCCCTACTACTAAATTTTGCCACTGGTAAAGGAGATCTCATAGTGTAAATGCTTCACCCCGAGCTCTCAATACTCTGATAGTGCGCTGTCTTTGAGTTGTACGCCTTTTGGCGTCATCTGGTCCAACACCAATGGAGACTAGGCTCTAAAGAAAGCTGTCTCGGGTGTGGACCAATCAACTTCAAGGACAGTGCATATCATCATCATCATCATCAGAGTTGTTTCTTTTTGTTTGCATTTTGACTGCTTGTGTTGAGGTTATCGCAAACATGATGCCTTGTATAAAGGTGTCAGTTGTACCAGTTGAAAGGGTAAAAACCTATCACTATATTTTGCTTTTTGATATCTTGTGTTGAGGTTATTGCAAACACGATGCCTTGTATAAAGGTGTCAGTTTCTGTACCAGTTGAAAGGGTAAAAACCTATTACTACAACTGAATCACTCTTGAGAACCGCTGCTGTGCCCACCACCCCCCTAATCAACACCCTCCCTGTCCCCACGCGTCTTGACCTCTCGACCGTGGCATGAGCAGGATCCGAGGCACGAGCTACCAGAGTCCGCACGGACTGCCCATCGACCTGCTCGACCGACTGCTCATCATCTCCACATCGCCATACAGCGAGCGCGAGACTCAGCAGATACTCTCCATCCGGTGAGACGTGCAGGAGGATGTGTAGATGCATGATGATGATGTGTGTGTGTCTGTATCTCTCTCTGTGTGTACTCAGCTGTGAGGAGGAGTATGTGTAGACGATGATGATGATGATGTGTCTCTGTATCTGTGTGTACTCAGCTGTGAGGAGTGTGTAGACGATGATGATGATGTGTCTATCTCTCTGTGTGTACTCAGCTGTGAGGAGGAGTATGTGTAGACGATGATGATGATGTGTGTGTCTCTGTATCTGTGTGTACTCAGCTGTGAGGAGTATGTGTAGACGATGATGATCATGTGTCTATCTCTCTGTGTGTACTCAGCTGTGAGGAGGAGTATGTGTAGACGATGATGATGATGATGTGTGTCTGTATCTATCTCAGAGGTCCCAAACGGGTTTTGATTCTTTAGCCGTACCCGTACCCGTACCCGGCCGCACCAGGGTTGCAAACGGGTGCCCGTACCCTACCCGATACCTGGCTACCCGTACCCGTACCCTACCCGTACCCGGCCGGGTACGGGTAGGGTACGGGTACCCGATTGCGACCTCTGGGATGAAGCCACGTTGCAGGCGTGGGTGTTGATTCTAGGAACTTGAATTGTGAGAAGAGACAAGACGTTGGGAAATGAGTGACAAACGGTGACTCACCAGTGACTCACGGCCTACCCGTACCCGGCCGCACCAGGGTCGCAAACTCTCCCACTCACTCACCCACTCACTCACTCACTCACCCACTCACCCACTCACTCACCCACTCACGAACTCACTCACGAACTCACCCACTCACGAACTCACCCACTCACGAACTCACCCACTCACTAACTCACTCACTCACCCACCCACGCACTCACCCACTCACCAACCAGAGGTCACAAACGGGTTTTGATTCCTTACCCCCCGTACCCGTTCCCGGCCGCACCAGGGTCGCAAACGGGTACCTGTACCGGCCGGGTACGGGTACCCGGGTATCGGGTACCCGGTTGCGACCTCTGATCTCTCTCTCCGCGTGTCCTCCTCAGTTGCGAGGAGGAGGACGTGGAGATGAACGACGACGATGATGATGTGTGTATTTGTCTACTCGGCTGTGCGGAGGATGTGTAGACGACGATGATGATGATGAGTGTGTCTCTCTCTGTCTGTGTCCTCAGCTGCGAGGAGGAGGACGTGGAGATGAACGACGATGATGATGATGTGTGTATTTGTCTACTCGGCTGTAAGGAGTATGTGTAGACGATGATGATGATGTGTGTATTTGTCTACTCAGCTGTGCGGAGGATGTGTAGACGACGACGATGATGATGAGTGTGTCTCTCTCTGTCTGTGTCCTCAGCTGCGAGGAGGAGGACGTGGAGATGAACGAGGATGCCCTCACCGTGCTCACCAAGATCGGGATGGAGACTTCGCTCCGCTACGCCATCCAGCTCATCACGGCAGCCAGCCTCGTGTGTCGCAAACGCAAGGTGGGTGGGCGGGCGGGCGGGCGGGCGCCCCGCAGGCTTTTAGTTTGGTGAAGGCCGGTAGCCTTCATATAGGCGCTGCTACTCGCTAACAGCACTTGCCCCGACAGTCCGTTAAGGCTGCACGGGGGGGGGGGGGGGGGGGGGGAGTCTTTTGGCTTTGTGCGTGTAAGGACATCTCAGCACAGCGGCCGCGTGGTGCCTTGCCTTGAGCCGGGGTCGGTCTCGGAACGTCTAATCTGTCCGCGCGTCTCTCGCAGGGAACGGAGGTGCAGGTAGAGGACATCAAGCGGGTCTACTCGCTCTTCCTGGACGAGGCGAGGTCCACGCAGTACATGAAGGAGTATCAGGACGCGTTCATGTTCAACGAGATGCGTACGTCCAGAGTGCACCCCCAGCGCCCCCCCACACCACCCCCTCTGCCCCCCACACCACCCCCTCTGCCCCCCACTTTTAATGTCTCTGTCTCACTGAGATGCGTACGTCCAGAGTTACCCCTAGTGCCCCCCCACACCACCCCCTCAGCCCCCCCCCCACACCACCCCCTCTGCCCCCCACACCACCCCCTCTGCCCCCCACTTTTAATGTCTCTGTCTCACTGAGATGCGTATGTCCAGAGTACCCCCCAGCGCCCCCACCCCCACACCACCTGCCCCCCACTGTTAGTGTGTCTCACTGAGATGCGTACGTCCAGAGTACCCCCCAGCGCCCCCACACCACCCCCCCTGCCCCCCACTTTTAATGTCTCTGTCTCACTGAGATGCGTACGTCCAGAGTTACCCCCAGCGCCCCCCCACCCCACCCCTTCTGCCCCCCACTGTCTCTGTCTCACTGAGGTGCCGTACGTCCAGAGTTGCCCCCCCCCACAACACCCCCCCTGTCTCTGTCTCACTGAGATGCGTTTGTCCAGAGTTACCCCCAGTGTCCCCCCACCCCACCACCTCTGCCCCCCACTTTCAGTGTCTCTGTCTCACTGAGATGCCGTACGTCCAGAGTTACCCCTAGCGCCCCCCCACACCACCCCCCTGCCCCCCACTGTCAGTGTCTCTGTCTCACTGAGATGCGTACGTCCAGAGTACCCCCCAGCGCCCCCCCCCCCTACACCACCCCCTCTGCCCCCCCACACCCCACCCCCCCTGCCCCCCACTTTCAGTGTCTCTGTCTCACTGAGATGCGTATGTCCAGAGTACCCCTAGTGCCCCCCCACACCACCCCCCTGCCCCCCACTGTCAGCGTCTATGTCTCACTGAGATGCGTACGTCCAGAGTTACCCCTAGCGCCCCCCCCACCCCCCTGCCCCCCATTGTCAGTGTGTCTCACTGAGATGCGTACGTCCAGAGTTACCCCTAGTGCCCCCTACCCCACCCCCTCTGCCCCCCACTTTCAGCGTCTCTGTCTCACTGAGATGCGTACGTCCAGAGTTACCCCTAGCGCCCCCCCACACCACCCCCCTGCCCCCCATTGTCAGTGTGTCTCACTGAGATGCGTACGTCCAGAGTGTACCCCCTAGCGAATTGGCCACGTTCTGTTTGCGTGACACAAACCCTCTGTGGCGGGTTTCACGACACAACATTCATATATTTTGACGCGAACTAACCCTCAAACAAAAGAGCTTTGTAGCTTATCGGATTTCCTCCAGCGTTAATGTTTACGGCGTGAGGGCACGTGCGGGGGGCAGCGGAGGGGGGGCTGGGCCTCGTACGCCATGAAGCGTCTGCGTGGTGGTGGTCTCTGTCTCGCAGGCCCCGAGGTGACGATGGACACGTCTTAAACGAGGCAGCGCACGCGAGAGAGGAGGAGGGGGGGGAGACGGGACGACGACATTCGGACCACGGGGCTTGATTCCACGTCGCGTGCGTTGTGCGTGTGTGTGCGTGTGTGTATATGCAGGGTGCTTAAAAACAAAACAAGTATAACCCGTAAAAACTAAGTTTTTCACTATAAATCCTTTATATGCGTGGCGGCTAGAGTCCTCTCGTCCTCTGGCTTGAGATGGCTGCCACCTATGGGTCAGATGATTGTCTGCCAGTATTAAGCAATTGGTAATTAAACATTTAATTTGTTTTCCCTAAACAGTGTACAATTTTGGGAATTTTTTTTCACGAACATTAATTGTCTCGCACAACGAGTCTGCGTGCAAAATGTCAGCTCGATTGGATCACGGGAAGTGGGTTAAGAAACGACCGAAAGATTTGCACGGTCGTAAGCAAGCAAGCAAGCACGCAAGCAAGCGAACTTAATATAAAGGATTTAAAAACGAAACGTTAATGACGCTTCTGAGAATTTGCAACTGATGCTACGAGAGAAATTTGCCTCTCCGGGTTCCCGGATGACAACCTGTGGTGGGGAGGGATTCCCGGCACACGCGTTGACGGCGAATGTCGGAGGAGCGGCGGGAGACTTTCATTCTAGATTTGAAGCTTTCGTGACTGCAAGGATTCGTGCTCGTAGGTTTTTTCTCGGTAAAGTCGTCACGTAGGTAAAAAAAATGAAATAAAATTAAAAGTTAATGAAAGTAATAATGGAAATAAAATAAATCACGACGTTTCGGAGGCAACACAAGTGTCCGTCGTCACTTGATGCAGTGATTTTAGCTGTGACGGTCCCAGCTGATGACGGAGACTTGTGTTGCCTCCGAAACGTCGCACACACACGCACGCACGCGTGCTTAGGGGCCATCCATTTAGTACGTACGCATGAGGCGGGGGGGTTAACCCAAATGCGTTCGCTTGCGTATGGGGGGGGGGTCTACTGACAATGTACGTAGCATAGGAAACGGGGGGGGGGGGGGGTAAAGCCTCGATAATTTGTCTACATTGGCCTTCAAATGAATTAAATAGTTCGGCGGTGGACGATCTGTTTGCTTAAACACCTTAATAGTATTAATCCTTGATCGTGATTCAATATCGGCCGTTCTATAGGATTCGGGGGGTGGGGGGGGTGCGTCAAGCATACGTACGTACGAAGATGGGGCGGAGGTGTATAACAAGTACGCGTGCGTACAGGGAGGAGGGGTTCAAGTTTTGACAGATTTTTGCGAACCTACTAAATGGGTGGCCCCTTGCACCTCTACTGAAAGTTGGGGCGTACGATCGGGCAAAGTTGGAGAGAGTTTCCCTCCCCCGTTTTTTTTGGTTAAATCTTGAGATGTATTTTCCCCTGATGGGTTGGAAGTTAAAACCGACCTTTGTGTGTGTTGTGTGTGGGGGGGGGGGGGTTTAGATTTTGTTTGCGTTATTGTTTGCGGTGGTGACGCAGCTAAATGTTTTTCACGGTGCCGATTTGAATATAAAGAAATAAAATCTACCTTTGTTTGCTCCTGGTTGCATCGAGTATTAAAAAATAACACTATAAAAATAAGTAATATTTAAAAACACTTAAAAAAACACGCTTTAATGAAATGTACAGTACCTAGTAATGGAAGAACTCCACGACTCCAGAAAGCTTGCCGTAGCGTAAGGGGACCGTGGCCAATTACAGCCAACGTCAGTTGAGCGTGGACAATTAGACCCAAGCCGAAACATAACATCTAAAAATGATTGTTTAAAAATATTTGTTTTAGTTTTAATGATAGAATATTGTATTGTCATCGGTATGATGTAAGTATACCAAGTTTGCAGTCTATCACATTGGGAAGTGGGTTAAAATTGAGGTACAAGATTTGAGGATACGACAACAACAACAACGTGAGTTAAATAAAAGCGTGTAAAAAAATAATGTTTAAAATGTATATTTTTTCGTTTTAATGATAGAATACTGTATTGTCATCAGTATGACATAAGTATAGGTTAAAATTGAGTTACAAGATTTGAGGATACGACAACGACAACAGAGTGAGTTAAATAAAAGCGTGTAAGAATAAATAAAATTTCGATTTAAAGCTTTCGTGACTGCAGGGATTCATCTTCTTGGTTCTTTTGGTAAAGTCACGTAGAAGGGAAGTAATAAAATAATAAAAAATAAAACATAATAAAATTTATTATGTTTTATTTTTATTATTTTATTACTTCCCTTCTACGTGACTTTACCAAAAGAACCAAGAAAATAAATAAAATATTAAAACATACTTTTTTTTAAAACACGCTTTAATGAAATGTACTGTCCGAGCTGCCCATACCCATGCCCCCTTCCCCCCTCCCCCTCCTTCCACATGCCCCCCCCCCCATGGGCGTGGCTCCCCGAGGCTTGCCGTGACGTCAGGGACCACGTGGTGATTTACAGGCAACGTCAGTTGAGCGTGGACAATTAGACCCAAGCCGAAACATAACTTGTAATAAGTTAAACCCGTAAAAACAAAGTTTTTCACTCTAAATCCTTTATACGCGTGGCGGCTAGAGTCCTCTCGTCCTCTGGCTTGAGATGGCTGCCACCTATGGGTCAGATGATTGCATGGCAGCATTAAGCAATTGGTAATGAAATTTAATATTTTTGTCCTAAAAAGTGTAAAATTTTGGGAAAAAAATTTCACGAACATTAATTGTCACGCACAACGAGTCTGTGTGCAAAATGTCAGCTCGATTGGATCACGGGAAGTGGGTTAAAAAACGACCGAAAGATTTGCACGGTCGTAAGCAAGCAAGCAATCGAACTTAATATAAAGGATTTAAAAAATAATGTTTACCATTTTTTTAAATGATATAAAATAGTATTATCAGTATAACATAAGTGTAGTGAGTTCAAGGAGACGTAGTCACACTTATTTATTATAACTTTACACAACACAGGCCAAGGTATACAACACTCGAAGGGGTGACAGCCCCTTCACCCGTCTAACAGGGAGACCCCCACTAACTCAAACCCGGCTAGCCTACTCCCAGCTCCTCCACTGGAGAGCTAGGGGAGGCTAGCTGATCCCGCTCTGGCCAAGCTGGGATCACGGCACCCTGAGTCCCCAGACCGGCCCCTTCACCCATCCAACAGGGAGATCACACTATCTCTAACCCGGCTAGCCTACTCCCAGGTCCTCCACTCGAGAGCTAGGGGAGGCTAGCTGACCCAGCTCTGGCCAAGCTGGGATCACGGCACCCTGAGTCCCCAGACCGGCCCCTTCACCCATCCAACAGGGAGATCACACTATCTCTAACCCGGCTAGCCTACTCCCAGGTCCTCCACTCGAGAGCTAGGGGAGGCTAGCTGACCCAGCTCTGGCCAAGCTGGGATCACGGCACCCTGAGTCCCCAGACCGGCCCCTTCACCCATCCAACAGGGAGATCACACTATCTCTAACCCGGCTAGCCTACTCCCAGCTCCTCCACTCGAGAGCTAGGGGAGGCTAGCTGACCCAGCTCTGGCCAAGCTGGGATCACGGCACCCTGAGTCACCAGACCGGCCCCTTCACCCGTCTAACAGGGAGACCCCCACTAACTCAAACCCGGCTAGCCTACTCCCAGGTCCTCCACTCGAGAGCTAGGGGAGGCTAGCTGACCCAGCTCTGGCCAAGCTGGGATCACGGCACCCTGAGTCACCAGACCGGCCCCTTCACTCGTCCAACAGGGAGATCACAATCTCTAACCCGGCTAGCCTACTCCCAGCTCCTCCACTCGAGAGCTAGGGGAGGCTAGCTGATCCCGCTCTGGCCAAGCTGGGATCACGGCACCCTGAGTCACCAGACCGGCCCCTTCACCCGTCTAACAGGGAGACCCCCACTAACTCAAACCCGGCTAGCCTACTCCCAGGTCCTCCACTCGAGAGCTAGGGGAGGCTAGCTGATCCAGCTCTGGCCAAGCTGGGATCACGGCACCCTGAGTCCCCAGACCGGCTCTTACAAGAGCATCGGCTCTGGGCTCTCGGGGCCACGCCACTGGCTTGCCCTGGTCGCTCCTGAGAAGGACGGCTATCCAGCCGGTCTTCCTTCTTCACTGGTTATTGAAACGTCGTAATTCTATTACTTAATTTTATCTTATACCTACGTGACTTTACTGAAAGATACTCTTAGTTCTTTCGGTAAAGTCACGTAGGTAAAATTAATAAAAATAAATTTTGCTGTGACGGTTTCACCTGAAGACGGAAGGCTTGTGTTGCCTCCGAAACGTCGTGATTTTTATTGTTTTATTTTTATAAATTTTACCTACGTGACTTTACAGAAAGAACTAAGAGTATGAATCCTTGCAGTCACGAAAGCTTCAAATCTAGAATGTACTGAAAGAGCCAAAAAGCATGCCGAAAGGACTTGGCAATATTCCTGCGGAAGCGGATCCAGAGAGATATCCAAACGGTGGTGGAATTCATCTTCTTGGTTCTTTCGGTAAAGTCACGTAGAATGGAAGTAATAAAATAATAAAAATAATAAACATAAAATAATTCTCACGACGTTCCGGCTACAACGCAAGCAGCCGTCTTCAGGTGAAGAATGAGACACTGCCAAGCTTGGAGCTTATATATATATAAGCTGGGTTGGAGGTGGAAGAAGAGCGCCTTAACAAAATGTGCATATCAAGAGGAATTTAGCATATTCATGCGAAATGCGTAGGAGGTGGGCGGGGGGGGGTTTCAAAGTCATTATGTCCGTGCATTATGCAGGATCAGCAGCACCAAAGGGAGGGGGTAGCATTAACAAAGGGAGGGTATGTTAATTAGTATATAGAAGCAATGAAACATGTCAATGGGAGAGCGGTGGCAGGAGACCCGCAGCGGTGCAAATAATGCATTCCCTGTGGAGAACACAAGATACACAGTCAATGCCAGCGAGTGGAATGCGGTCTGAAAGTCACCGTAGACGTGAACATTTCATCGCGGCACGGGACCGAACCCACGACATTTGTCGACGCGGGAGCTTTCTAAAAGTGGGCCTGGATTTGGCAAACCAGGTACGGAGGAGAAACCAGTTAAAGGACATGAGGACAAAGGGGGGAAGGCAATGATTCTTATACACACATGAAGCGTTACCTCTGTGTGGAGAGCAGTGCGCATATTGCGAGATTTTGTCAGAAAAGAGGTACGGGTACTATTTTTCTTTACCGAGTGTTAACATCCCCGGCGTTTAACAGTACTCTCTTTATTGTCAGCCAACACTGGTATAAACAACATGGGCTTTTTCGTTTCTTTTCTATCCTGTGTATCAACAGTGACTTGCGCACAAACACGTCCACGTCACCCACGAGTACCTCGTACCTTCTTCAAGCCCCGATACATTCCATTCATTGGCTACCACATTCTGATAAGCCCCTCCCCCCCCCTCTCAACTTGTATTTAAGGGCTTGCATCTTGGAATCCCTGCCTCAACTTGATGCGGCAAATCTGGCTGTGACGGTCCCACCTGATGACGGAGACTTGTGTTGCCTCCGAAACGTCGTGATTTTATTGTTTTATGTTATTAATTTTTATTTAATTTTTTACCTACGTGGTGGCTTTACCAAAAGAACTAAGAGTATGAGTAAGGCCAACCAGAACCAGTGGGCAGAGATTTAAAGCCCCACACTGGCTTGGTGGGAGAGGCAGCGACTGGGCAGGCCCCGCCGTGTTGCAAGATGGAACAGCAATTCCCGTGTTAGGAGTGTGGGCGGGCAGTCGGCACTACCAGCGTTTATTCGTTCGGGTAGTAAAAGCAGAGGTCGCAAACGGGTTTTGATTCCTTACCCGTACCCGGCCGCACCAGGGTCGCAAACGGCTACCCGTACCTGTACCCTACCCGATACCCGGCTACCCGTACCCGGCCGGGTACGGGCAGCCGTTTGTGACCCTGGTGCGGCCGGGTCCGGCTCCGCCGTGAGTCACTGGTGAGTCACCGTTTGTCACTCATTTCGGGTAGGGTACGGGTAGGGAACGGCTACTCGTACCCAGTCGGGTACGGGCAGCCGTTTGTGACCCTGGTGCGGCCGGGTCCGGGTACGCCGTGAGTCACTGGTGAGTCACCGTTTGTCACTCATTTCGGGTAGCGTACGGGTAGGGAACGGCTACTCGTACCCAGTCGGGTACGGGTACCTGTTTGCGACCCTGGTGCGGCCGGGTACGGGTAAGGAATCAAAACCCGTTTGCGACCTCTGATAACAGGGCAGCAGATGACATCGCAAGAGCCGAAGCAACTACAGACCTCGGATCAGAGTCGAACAACTTTGTGGAGAAAAAGCTCAGCTCGGTCGGGCCCTTGGAACAGCAAAATGGGACTTCTAGCCAACTTGTGGTAATCAACGCTCTCTTACGGAGAAAATTCCAGAGTCCAAGGGTGGACGCAATGGGCAAAAATGTTCACGCAGTTGATCGTCCCACAGAAATGACGGAATCAAACGACGGCTTCAGCACGCGATTCCCTCGCTGGCTCGGCACATGGGGGCGTTAGCCGGGCGCCGACTCGCGTATTGGCACATCTCTACTGACCCGGAGCGACCAGAGACACACACACACACAGAGCGCTACTGCCAAATCACGCGATAAACCGAGAGTTGCAAAGGGAAAATCGGCGCAACGCATGCCGAGCCGGGTGCGAGGGCGATCCCTCGATCCCTCGATTCCGCGCCCTCGCTAGCCACCCCTCCGCTCCGGTCGGTTGCCGCTCATCCTACGACGCCGTCATCCGAGTCTTCTTCGGTTTTGACGGTTACGGTGTCGGCGGCTACGGTGTCGGCTACGGTGTCGGCGTCGCTCGGCGTCGCGTGCGTCTTCTTGTGCCGCCTGTGCGTGCTCTTGTCGGCGAACGCCCGCCCGCACACGCCGCACTTGTAGGGCTTCTCGCCTGTGTGGATGCGCTGGTGGCTGCGCAGGTAGCCGAGAACGCGGAACGCCTTGGCGCACACGCCGCATCGGTACGGCCGCTCGCCGGTGTGCGTGCGCCGGTGCTCGACCAGGACGCTCGGCTTGTCGGCCGTGTAGGGGCAATCGTCGCAGCGGTAGACGGCCGACTTGACGTGCTGCTTCATGTGGTCCTCCAGCGCCGACGGGCTCACCAGCACCCAGTTGCACACCGGGCACAGGATCTTGGCGGAGCCCTCGGAGATAATTTTGTTTCCTTGTAGTGAGGGGGCGGGGGGGGGGGTGGCGGAAAGACAAAGATCATCGTCACCTACACCACCCACAAAGATCATCGCCACCCACAAAGATCATCGTCACCCACACCACCCACAAAGATCATCACCACCCACACCACCCACACCACCCACACCACCCACAAAGATCATCGTCACCCACTCCACCCACAGAGATCATCACCACCCACACCACCCACACAGATCATCACCACCCACAGAGATCATCACCACCCACACCACCCACACAGATCATCACCACCCACACCACCCACACAGATCATCACCACCCACACCACCCACACGGATCATCACCACCCACAAAGATCATCACCACCCACACCACCCACAAAGATCATCACCACCCACACAGATCATCACCACCCACACCACCCACACTACCCACAAAGATCATCACCACCCACAAAGATCATCACCACCCACACAGATCATCACCACCCACACCACCCACACAGATCATCACCACCCACACAGATCATCACCACCCACACCACCCACACAGATCATCACCACCCACACCATCCACAAAGATCATCACCACCCACACAGATCATCACCACCCACACCACCCACACAGATCATCACCACCCACACCACCCACACAGATCATCACCACCCACACAGATCATCACCACCCACACAGATCATCACCACCCACACCACCCACAAAGATCATCACCACCCACACAGATCATCACCACCCACACAGATCATCACCACCCACACAGATCATCGTCACCCACACAGATCATCACCACCCACACAGATCATCACCACCCACACAGATCATCACCACCCACACCACCCACACAGATCATCACCACCCACACAGATCATCACCACCCACACCATCCACAAAGATCATCACCACCCACAAAGATCATCGTCACCCACACAGATCATCACCACCCACACCACCCACACAGATCATCACCACCCACACCATCCACAAAGATCATCACCACCCACACAGATCATCACCACCCACACCACCCACACAGATCATCACCACCCACACAGATCATCACCACCCACACAGATCATCACCACCCACACCACCCACACAGATCATCACCACCCACACCATCCACAAAGATCATCACCACCCACACAGATCATCACCACCCACACCACCCACAAAGATCATCACCACCCACACAGATCATCACCACCCACACCACCCACACAGATCATCACCACCCACACAGATCATCACCACCCACACCACCCACACAGATCATCACCACCCACAAAGATCATCACCACCCACACAGATCATCACCACCCACACCACCCACACAGATCATCACCACCCACACAGATCATCACCACCCACACCATCCACACAGATCATCACCACCCACACAGATCATCACCACCCACACCACCCACACAGATCATCACCACCCACACCATCCACAAAGATCATCACCACCCACACAGATCATCACCACCCACACCATCCACAAAGATCATCACCACCCACACAGATCATCACCACCCACACCACCCACACAGATCATCACCACCCACACTATCCACAAAGATCATCACCACCCACCAAGATCATCACCACCCACACCACCCACAAAGATCATCGTCACCCACAGAGATCATCACCACCCACACCATCCACAAAGATCATCACCACCCACCAAGATCATCACCACCCACACCATCCACACAGATCATCACCACCCACACAGATCATCACCACCCACACCACCCACACAGATCATCACCACCCACACAGATCATCACCACCCACACCATCCACACAGATCATCACCACCCACACAGATCATCACCACCCACACCACCCACACAGATCATCACCACCCACACCATCCACAAAGATCATCACCACCCACACAGATCATCACCACCCACACCATCCACAAAGATCATCACCACCCACACAGATCATCACCACCCACACCACCCACACAGATCATCACCACCCACACCATCCACAAAGATCATCACCACCCACCAAGATCATCACCACCCACACCACCCACAAAGATCATCGTCACCCACAGAGATCATCACCACCCACACCATCCACAAAGATCATCACCACCCACCAAGATCATCACCACCCACACCACCCACAAAGATCATCGCCACCCACAGAGATCATCACCACCCACACCACCCACAAAGATCATCGTCACCCACAAAGACAAAATCCTCGCCGACACCGCCCACATCGTTCACCTCCTCACCAGCTCCCCTCACCACTCACCTCTCCCTCTGCCCCCTCACCTCCTCACCAGCTCCACTCACCACTCACCCTGCTCCCTCACCACCTCACCAGCTCCCCTCACCACTCACCTCTCCCTCTGCCCCCTCACCACCTCACCAGCTCATCCCCCCACCACTCACCACGCCGGTGGCTGACTAGGACTCCCGGCTTGTCGGCCGTGTGGCAGCGGTAGACGGCCGACTTGCCGTGCTGCCTCATGTGGTCCTCCAGCGCCGACGGGCTCACCAGCACCCAGCTGCACACCGGGCACAGGATCTTGGCGGAGCCCTCGGCGATCATTTTGTCTCCTTGTAGTGAGGGGGCGGGGGGGGGTGGCGGAAAGACAAAGATCATCCACATGAAGATCATCACCACCCACAAAGATAATCGTCACCCACAAAGATCATCGTCACCCACAAAGATCATCACCACCCACAAAGATCATCACCACCCACAAAGATCATCGTCACCCACAAAGATCATCGTCACCCACAAAGATCATCGTCACCCACAAAGATCATCGTCACCCACAAAGATCATCACCACCCACAAAGATCATCGTCACCCACAAAGATCATCGTCACCCACAAAGATCATCGTCACCCACAAAGATCATCGTCACCCACAAAGATCATCGCCACCCACAAAGATCATCGCCACCCACAAAGATCATCGCCACCCACAAAGATCATCGTCACCCACAAAGATCATCGTCACCCACAAAGATCATCGTCACCCACAAAGATCATCGCCACCCACAAAGATCATCGTCACCCACAAAGATCATCGCCACCCACAAAGATCATCACCACCCACAAAGATCATCGTCACCCACAAAGATCATCGTCACCCACAAAGATCATCGTCACCCACAAAGATCATCGTCACCCACAAAGATCATCGTCACCCACAAAGATCATCGTCACCCACAAAGATCATCGTCACCCACAAAGATCATCGTCACCCACAAAGATCATCGTCACCCACAAAGATCATCGTCACCCACAAAGATCATCGTCACCCACAAAGATCATCGCCACCCACAAAGATCATCGCCACCCACAAAGATCATCGCCACCCACAAAGATCATCGTCACCCACAAAGATCATCGTCACCCACAAAGATCATCGTCACCCACAAAGATCATCGCCACCCACAAAGATCATCGTCACCCACAAAGATCATCGCCACCCACAAAGATCATCGTCACCCACAAAGATCATCGCCACCCACAAAGATCATCGCCACCCACAAAGATCATCGCCACCCACAAAGATCATCGTCACCCACAAAGATCATCGTCACCCACAAAGATCATCGTCACCCACAAAGATCATCGTCACCCACAAAGATCATCGTCACCCACAAAGATCATCGTCACCCACAAAGATCATCGCCACCCACAAAGATCATCGCCACCCACAAAGATCATCGCCACCCACAAAGATCATCGTCACCCACAAAGATCATCGTCACCCACAAAGATCATCGTCACCCACAAAGATCATCGCCACCCACAAAGATCATCGTCACCCACAAAGATCATCGCCACCCACAAAGATCATCGTCACCCACAAAGATCATCACCACCCACAAAGATCATCGTCACCCACAAAGATCATCGCCACCCACAAAGATCATCGCCACCCACAAAGATCATCGCCACCCACAAAGATCATCGTCACCCACAAAGATCATCGTCACCCACAAAGATTATCGTCACCCACAAAGATCATCGTCACCCACAAAGATCATCGTCACCCACAAAGATCATCACCACCCACAAAGATCATCGTCACCCACAAAGATCATCACCACCCACAAAGATCATCGTCACCCACAAAGATCATCGCCACCCACAAAGATCATCGTCACCCACAAAGATCATCGTCACCCACAAAGATCATCGTCACCCACAAAGATCATCGTCACCCACAAAGATCATCGTCACCCACAAAGATCATCGTCACCCACAAAGATCATCGTCACCCACAAAGATCATCACCACCCACAAAGATCATCGCCACCCACAAAGATCATCGTCACCCACAAAGATCATCGTCACCCACAAAGATCATCGTCACCCACAAAGATCATCGTCACCCACAAAGATCATCGTCACCCACAAAGATCATCGTCACCCACAAAGATCATCGTCACCCACAAAGATCATCACCACCCACAAAGATCATCGTCACCCACAATGATCATCACCACCCACAAAGATCATCGTCACCCACAAAGATCATCGCCACCCACAAAGATCATCGTCACCCACAAAGATCATCGTCACCCACAAAGATCATCGTCACCCACAAAGATCATCGTCACCCACAAAGATCATCGTCACCCACAAAGATCATCGTCACCCACAAAGATCATCGTCACCCACAAAGATCATCGTCACCCACAAAGATCATCGCCACCCACAAAGATCATCGTCACCCACAAAGATCATCGTCACCCACAAAGATCATCGTCACCCACAAAGATCATCGTCACCCACACAGATCATCGTCACCCACAAAGATCATCGTCACCCACAAAGATCATCGTCACCCACAAAGATCATCGCCACCCACAAAGATCATCGTCACCCACAAAGATCATCGTCACCCACAAAGATCATCGTCACCCACAAAGATCATCGTCACCCACAAAGATCATCGTCACCCACAAAGATCATCGTCACCCACAAAGATCATCGTCACCCACAAAGATCATCACCACCCACAAAGATCATCGCCACCCACAAAGATCATCGTCACCCACAAAGATCATCGTCACCCACAAAGATCATCGTCACCCACAAAGATCATCATCACCCACACAGATCATCGTCACCCACAAAGATCATCGTCACCCACAAAGATCATCGTCACCCACAAAGATCATCGTCACCCACACAGATCATCGTCACCCACAAAGATCATCGTCACCCACAAAGATCATCGTCACCCACAAAGATCATCGTCACCCACAAAGATCATCGTCACCCACAAAGATCATCGTCACCCACAAAGATCATCACCACCCACAAAGATCATCGTCACCCACAAAGATCATCGTCACCCACAAAGATCATCGTCACCCACAAAGATCATCGTCACCCACACCACCCACATCGCTCACCACCTCCACTCACCACTCACCTCTCCCTCTGCTCCCTCACCTCCTCACCACCTCCACTCACCACTCACCTCTCCCTCTGCTCCCTCACCTCCTCACCACCTCCACTCACCTCTCCCTCTGCTCACCACCTCACCAGCTCCCCTCACCACTCACCACCTCACCACCTCCACTCACCACTCACCTCTCCCTCTGCTCCCTCACCACTCACCTCCTCACCAGCTCCCCTCACCACTCACCTCACCAGCTCCCCTCACCACTCACCACCTCACCACCTCCACTCACCACTCACCTCTCCCTCTGCTCCCTCACCACTCACCACCTCACCAATTCCACTCACCACTCACCTCACCAGCTCCCCTCACCACTCACCACCTCACCAACTCCACTCACCACTCACCTCACCAGCTCCCCTCACCACTCACCACCTCACCAACTCCACTCACCACTCACCTCACCAGCTCCCCTCACCACTCACCACCTCACCACCTCCACTCACCACTCACCTCTCCCTCTGCTCCCTCACCACCTCCACTCACCACTCACCTCTCCCTCTGCCCCCTCACCTCCTCACCACCTCCACTCACCTCTCCCTCTGCTCACCACCTCACCAGCTCCCCTCACCACTCACCACCTCACCAACTCCACTCACCACTCACCTCACCACCTCCACTCACCACTCACCTCTCCCTCTGCTCCCTCACCACTCACCTCCTCACCAGCTCCCCTCACCACTCACCACCTCACCAACTCCACTCACCACTCACCTCACCAGCTCCCCTCACCACTCACCACCTCACCAATTCCACTCACCACTCACCTCACCAGCTCCCCTCACCACTCACCACCTCACCAACTCCACTCACCACTCACCTCACCAGCTCCCCTCACCACTCACCACCTCACCAACTCCACTCACCACTCACCTCACCAGCTCCCCTCACCACTCACCACCTCACCAACTCCACTCACCACTCACCTCACCACCTCCACTCACCACTCACCTCTCCCTCTGCTCCCTCACCACCTCCACTCACCACTCACCTCTCCCTCTGCCCCCTCACCTCCTCACTACCTCCACTCACCTCTCCCTCTGCTCACCACCTCACCAGCTCCCCTCACCACTCACCACCTCACCAACTCCACTCACCACTCACCTCTCCCTCTGCTCACCACCTCACCAGCTCCCCTCACCACTCACCACCTCACCAACTCCACTCACCACTCACCTCACCACCTCCACTCACCACTCACCTCTCCCTCTGCTCCCTCACCACTCACCTCCTCACCAGCTCCCCTCACCACTCACCACCTCACCAACTCCACTCACCACTCACCTCACCAGCTCCCCTCACCTCCTCACCACTCACCACCTCTCCACTCACCTCCTCCTCGCTGCGTCTCGCTGTGGCCGCCTGCTCCTCTTCTCTCCCTCATCTCCTCACCTCCTCCTCACCTCCTCACCACCTCTCACCACCTCCTCACCACCTCCACTCACACTCACCACTCACCTCCTCACCACCTCCTCACCACCTCCACTCACCACTCACCACTCACCTCCTCACCACCTCCTCACCACCCTCCACTCACCCACTCACCACTCACCTCCTCACCCTCCTCACCACCTCCACTCACCACTCACCCACTCACCTCCTCACCACCTCCTCACCACCTCCACTCACCACTCACCACTCACCTCCTCACCACCTCCTCACCACCTCCACTCACCACTCACCACTCACCTCCTCACCACCTCCTCACCACCTCCACTCACCACTCACCACTCACCTCCTCACCACCTCCACTCACCACTCACCACTCACCTCCTCACCACCTCCTCACCACCTCCACCTCACCACTCACCTCCTCACCACCTCCACTCACCACTCACCACTCACCTCCTCACCACCTCCTCACCACCTCCACTCACCACTCACCACTCACCCCCCTCCCACCTCCACTCACCACTCACCTCCTCACCACCTCCTCACCACCTCCACTCACCACTCACCTCCTCACCACCTCCACTCACCACTCACCACTCACCTCCTACCACCTCCTCACCACCTCCACTCACACTCACCTCCTCACCTCCTCCACCACCTCCACTCACCAATCACCACTCACCTCCTCACCACCTCCTCACCACCTCCACTCACCACTCACCTCCTCACCTCCTCACCACCTCCACTCACCACTCACCTCCTCCACCTCCTCACCACCCTCCACTCACCACTCCACCTCCTCACCACCTCCTCACCAACTCCACTCACCACTCACACTCACTCCTCACCACCTCCTCACCACCTCCACTCACCACTCACCACTCACCTCCTCACCAGCTCCTCACCACCTCCACTCACCACTCACCACTCACCTCCTCACCACCTCCTCACCACTCACAACTCACCTCCTCACCACCTCCTCACCACCTCCACGCACCACTCACCTCCTCACCACCTCCACTCACCACTCACCACTCACCTCCTCACAACCTCCTCACCACTCCACCTCACACTCACCACTCACCTCCTCACCACCTCCACTCACACTCACCTCCTCACCACCTCCTCACCACCTCCGACTCACCACTCACCACTCACCTCCTCACCACCCTCCACTCACCACTCACCATCTCACCCCTCCTCACCACCTCCACTCACCACCTCCACTCACCACCTCCTCACCACCTCCACTCACCACCTCCACTCACCTCCTCACCACCCTCCTCACCACCTCCACTCACCACCTCCACTCACCTCCTCCGCTCACCACCTCCACTCACCACCTCACACTCACCACCTCCGCTCACCACCTCCACTCACCACTCACCTCCTCACCCCTCCACTCACCACTCACCACTCAACACTCCTCCCAACCTCCACTCACACACTCACTCACCCTCACCATCCTCACCCTCCTCACCACCTCCACTCACCACTCACCACTCACCTCCTCACCACCTCCTCACCACCCTCCACTCACCACTCACCTCCTCACCTCCTCACCACCTCCACTCACCACTCACCTCCTCACCTCCTCACACACCTCCACTCACCACTCACCACTCACCTCCTCATCACCACCTCCACTCACCACCTCCACTCACCACCTCCACTCACCTCCTCACCACCTCCACTCACCACTCACCTCCTCACCACCTCCTCACCACCTCCACTCACCACTCACCTCCTCACCACCTCCACTCACCACTCACCACTCACCTCCTCCCACCTCCTCACCAACCTCCACTCACCACTCACCTCCTCACCTCCTCACCACCTCCACTCACCACTCACCACTCACCTCCTCACCACCTACCTCACCACCTCCACTCACCACTCACCTCCTCACCTCCTCACCACCTCCACTCACCACTCACCTCCTCACCTCACCTCACCACCTCCACTCACCACTCACCTCCTCACCACCTCCTCACCACCTCCACTCACCACTCACACTCACCTCCTCACCACCTCCTCACCACCTCCACTCACCACTCACCACTCACCTCCTCACCAGCTCCTCACCACCTCCACTCACCACTCACCACTCACCTCCTCACCACCTCCACTCACCACTCACCACTCACCTCCTCACCACCTCCTCACCACCTCCACTCACCACTCACCTCCTCACCACCTCCACTCACCACTCACCACTCACCTCCTCACCACCTCCTCACCACCTCCACTCACCACTCACCTCCTCACCCTCCTCACCACCTCCACTCACCACTCACCTCCTCACCTCCTCACCACCTCCACTCACCACTCACCTCCTCACCACCTCCTCACCACCTCCACTCACCACTCACCACTCACCTCCTCACCACCTCCTCACCACCTCCACTCACCACTCACCACTCACCTCCTCACCAGCTCCTCACCACCATCCACTCCACTCACCACTCACCACTCACCTCCTCACCACCTCCTCACCACCTCCACTCACCACTCACCACTCACCACTCACCTCCTCACCACCTCCACTCACCACTCACCTCCTCACCACCTCCTCACCACCTCCACTCACCACTCACCACTCACCTCCTCACCACCTCCTCACCACCTCCACTCACCACTCACCACTCACCTCCTCACCAGCTCCTCACCACCTCCACTCACCACTCACCACTCACCTCCTCACCACCTCCTCACCACCTCCACTCACCACTCACCATCTCACCCCCTCTCCTCACAGTGACGTCACGCCGGACGTGACGTCACGTCGAGCGACGCCAGGAAATGACGTCATCCGTCGCGCGTGACGTCACGTCGCTCTCCGAGCCCCGAGCTCGCGGGCGTGACGTCACGCGGCTCGCTGACTCGTCGCGTGACGTCACGTCTCTTGTCGAGTCCCGAGTTCGTCGCGTGACGTCACCGGCTCTGCTCAACACTCCCCTCCCCCCTAGGTCGACTCAGCCTCAAATGAGAAACCTGCAGCAAACGATTAATCGATTTCAAATCGATATTGCAATTTGAAACAACGCGATTGGCAAAATCGCAAAAGCTGCGATTTTTTTTGCGATTTGAAAAGTCCAATTGCTTTCCTGTTGGAATTGTTTTATTTTATTCATTTCGATTTAAAGCTTCTTTCGTGACTGCAGCAGGGATTCATCTTCTTGGTTCTTTCGGTAAAGTCACGTAGAAGGGAAGTAATAAAATAAAAAAAATAAAACATAACAAAATAATTATATTATTTATATTATAATAAACTAATAAAAATAAAACATAATCAAATAATTATATTATTTTATTATGTTTTATTTTTATTAAATAAAACATAATCAAATAATTATATTATTTTATTATGTTTTATTTTTATTATTTCATTACTTCCCTTCTACGTGACTTTACGTGACTTTACCGAAAGAACCAAGAAGATTAACAATTGTTCTACGTGTGATTGTTCCATTTCAATTAAAACATTTTAAGAAATACATGTTGCAAGCAATTCTCATCCTTGCATCAGAATATGAAGAGCAGTTCATATTTCGATGGTATCACGTGGAAAAGTTTAAAGTTCATTTATTAGTAGTAGGTTTTTACCCTTTGACACTGGTACAAAACTGACACCTTTATACAAGACATCATGTTTGCAATAACCACAACACAAGCAGTCAAAAAAGCAAACAAAAAGAAACAACTCTGATGATGATGATAATGATATGCACTGTCCTTGAAGTTGATTGGTCCACACCCGAGACAGCTTTCTTTAGAGCCTAGTCCCCCATTGGTGCTGGACCAGATGACACCAAAAGGCGTACAACTCAAACACAGTGCAATATCAGAGTATTGATAAAATTTAAAATTTAATTTATAAAAGTAAAATAAAAATAAAATAAAAATCACGACGTTTCGGAGGCAACACAAGCTTCCGTCTTCAGGTGGAACCGTCACAGCCACGATTGCTGTTTCAAGTAAAGAGAAATTCCAAGAAAACAGTCCTTGGCTTTAGCCGCACCAACTTCACAATAATAACCATCTTCTTGGTTCTTTCGGTAAAGTCATCACGTAGAAGGGAAGTAATGAAATAATAAAAATAAAACATAATAAAATCAAATAATTCTCACGACGTTTCGGCTACAACGCAAGCAGCCGTCTTCAGGTGAAGAATGAGACACTGCCAAGCTTGGAGCTTATATATATAAGCTGGGTTGGAGGTGGAAGAAGAGCGCCTTAACAAAAAGAATGTGCATATCAAGAGAAATTTAGCATATTCATGGTAAATGCGTAGGAGGTGGGTGGGGGGGTTTCAAAGTCATATTATGCCCATGCATTATTTTATTACTTCCCTTCTACGTGACTTTACCGAAAGAACCAAGAAGATGAATCCCTGCAGTCACGAAAGCTTTAAATCGAAATATTAATTATATCCAGGTGCTGCCTTGGCTCCTCACACCCTCAACCAGTATACATACACAAGGACGGTTTTATTGGAATTTCTCCTTACTTGATACAGCAATCGTGAGCTGTGACTGTTCCACCTGAAGACGGAAGCTTGTGTTGCCTCCGAAACGTCGTGATTTTTATTTTAATTTAACTTTTATTAATTTGAATTTTTTTTACCTACGTGACTTTACCGAAAAAAACCTAAGAATAAGAGCTCATAACTCAGTGGGCTTCACCCGGTAAACAATAAAAGTTACTGGCGAAACGTCGTGCTCGCGATTGTAAATGCTGTGGCTTTGCTCTCCAACACACAACCGGTAGGCGCTGAACTAGTACACTGCACTATACACTACTACACTATACACTACTACACTATACACTACACTATAGACTACTACACTATACACTACACTACACTATACACTACACTATAGACTACTACACTATACACTACACTATACACTACACTATAGACTACACTATAATACACTACACTATACACTACACTATAGACTACGCTATAATACACTACACTATACACTGCACTATACACTACTACACTGCACTATACACTACACTATACACTACACTATACTATACACTGCACTATACACTGCACTATACACTACTACACTATACACTACACTATACACTGCACTATACACTACTATACACTACACTATACACTACACTATACACTACACTATACACTACACTACACTATACACTACACTACACTATAGACTACACTATACACTACACTATACACTATACTATACACTGCTATACACTACTATACACTACTATATACACTACACTATACACTACACTATACACTACACTATACACTACACTATACACTACAATATACACTACACTATAGACTACACTACTACACTATACACTGCACTATACACTACTACACTACACTATACACTACACTATACACTACAATATACACTACACTATAGACTACACTATACACTACACTATACACTACACTATACACTACACTATACACTATACTATACACTGCTATACACTACTACACACTACTATATACACTACACTATACACTACACTATACACTACACTATACACTACACTATACACTACACTATACACTACAATATACACTACACTATAGACTACACTATACACTACAATATACACTACACTATAGACTACACTATACACTACACTATACACTACACTATACACTACTACACTACACTATACACTACACACTACTATATACACTACTACACTGCACTATACACTGCACTATACACTACACACTATACACTGCACTATACACTACACACTATACACTACACTATACACTACACTATACACTACACACTATACACTGCACTATACACTGCACTATACACTACAATAAACACTACACTTTACACTACACTACACACTACACTATACACTACTACACTATACACTACACTAAAATACACTACACTACACACTACAATAAACACTACACTATACACTACACTACACGCTACTATACACTACACTATACACTACACTACACGCTACTATACACTACACTATACACTACACTACAATAAACACTACACTATACACTACACTACACGCTACTATACACTACACTATACACTACACTACAATAAACACTACACTATACATTAGTGCTGTACTAGTAACGAATTGGCATGTTCTGTTTACGTGACAAACCTTACTAATTGGCTGTGTTGTCGGGTGGTGGCGGGTTTAACGACACATTTATATATTCTTGGTTCTTTCGGTAAAGTCACGTAGAATGGAAACAATAAAATAATAAAAATAAAACATCATAAAATAATTTTCACGACGTTTCGGCCACAACGCAAGCAGCCGTCCTCAGGTGAAGTCATTCAGACTCTTGTCTACTCGACAGACCTGCTCTCCACCTGAGGACGGCTGCTTGCGTTGTGGCCGAAACGTCGTGAGAATTGTATTTTATAATGTTTTATTTTTATTATTTTATTATTTCCATTCTACGTGACTTTACCGAAAGAACCTAGAAGTTGAATCCCTGCAGTCACGAAAGAAGCTTTAAATCGAGACACATTTAAATATTATGTTATCTAACCCAAAATAAGTATAACCCGTAAAAACAAAGTTTTTCACTATAAATCCTTTATATGCGTGGCGGCTAGAGTCCTCTCGTCCTCTGGCTTGAGATGGCTGCCACCTATGGGTCAGATGATTGTCTGCCAGTATTAAGCAATTGGTAATTAAATATTTAATTTGTTTTCCCTAAACAGTGTAAAATTTTGGAAAAAAATTTTCACGAAAATTAATTGTCACACACAAAGAGTCTGTGTGGAAAATGTCAGCTCGATTGGATCACGGGAAGTGGGTTAAAAAACGACTGAAAGATTTGCACGGTCGTAAGCAAGCAAGCAAGCACGCACGCAAGCAAGCGAACTTAATATAAAGGAATTAAAAAAAAACCCTGTATTATGGATATTGGTCACGATAGTCTACGAGTGAAACTAACACAAGTTATTTTTGTTTGAGTGTAATTGCAAGGACGAGTGTGTAACCTCGACTTTTGTGGCCCTACCACAACTTCCGTCCGTCGATTTGCAGACGCGTACGCAGACACAGAAGGCGATTATAAAATAGTGGTTTTTATTTTGTTGAATGACTACTTTGCGTTACACAGTTTTCCACGTCCGACACTGTTGTTTTTCCCCATCCAACAAGTGTACAGATCTTCTTGGTTCTTTCGGTAAAGTCGTCACGTAGAAGGGAAGTAATAAAATAATAAAAATAAAACATAATAAAATAATAAAAATAAAACATAATAGAATAATAAAAATAAAACATGATAAAATAATAAAAACAAAACATAATAAAATAATTCTCACGACGTTTCGGCCATAACGCAAGCAGCCGTCCTCAGGTGAAGAACAGGTCTGTCGGAAAGACAGCGTCTGAATGAACACCATATACGATGCCAAGCTTGGTGGTGCTCATTCAGACGCTGTCTTTCCGACAGACCTGTTCTTCGCCTGAGGACGGCTGCTTGCGTTATGGCCGAAACGTCGTGAGAATTGTATTTTATTATGTTTTATTATTATTATTTTATTATTTCCCTTCTACGTGACTTTACCGTAAGAACCAAGAAGATGAATCCCTGCAGTCACGAAAGCTTTACATCGAAATTTAAGTGTACAGATTCTACGTGTGACTACATCTCTTTAAAAACAACGAGTGCCATCGCTTTGGCCACAGCCTCAAGCACAAGAACCAATTTGATTCCCGAAGAACCAATTGGCTCGTGAATTCACCACATTTTGGCGTCTAACGCGAAACGTCAGACATGGTTCCGAACAACTCGCGGCACGGCGCAGAGAAACGCACCGGATAGTCGTGACGATACTCGATTGGTGCTCGATCGACCGTGCGAGCGGAACAATCCGTTTGTCAGTCATCGCCACCGCCATCTCCACCGGCATCTTCATCATCATCGCCGCCATCATCATCATCGCCACTAAAATTTAAATCATTATCGCCATCATCATCGCCACCGGCATTTTCATCATCATCATCATCATCGCCACCGGCATTTTCATCATCATCATCATCATCGCCACTAAAATTTATATCATTATCGCCATCATCATTATCATCGCCACTAAAATTTATATCATTATCGCCATCATCATCATCGCCACCGGCATTTTCATCATCATCATCGCCACTAAAATTTATATCATTATCGTCATCATCATCATCGCCACCGGCATTTTGATCATCATCATCATAGTCACCACCATCTTCATCATCATCGCCATGGGTATCTTCATCATTATTATTATAATTTCCATCATCGCCACCGCCATTTCCATCGTGATCGCCATCATTATCATCATCTCCATCATCGCCACTGCCATCATCATCATCTCCATCATCGCCACTGCCATCATCATCCTCTTCATCATCGCCACCGCCATTTCCATCATCATCGCCATCTTCATCATCATCATCATCGCCATCGCAATCACCGCCACCGGCATCATCATCATCTTCATCATCGCCACCGGCATCATCGCTACCGGCATCATCGTCATCGTCATCATCATCATCGCCACCGCCACCTCGCCGGGCACAGCTTCCCCGCGCTGCCCCACGGCTTTTAGGGAGCGGCGCAAGAACCGGGCAGCCAAAATCGCCGCCCGTCGCGATCCCCGATTCGCGTTCCGCATTGAAGACGAAATCATTTGGCACCCGGCCTTCCGTTGTCAAGATTTGGGGGGTCTCCCCCCCCCCGCACCCCCCCCAGAGTCCCCTCTGAAGCGTCGGGGGGCAGGGGGGGGGGTCTCTCGTCCATTGGAAGTGGCGTGAGAAAATAAATTTGCATGGCCGCCCCCCTTTTCCGTTTCACCTTCACCAAACGATGCGGCCATCGGAGGCGGTGCCGGCCGCGATCGTCGTAGTCACGCGCACGTGTACGTGTGCATCCGTGCGCGTGCGTGTGTTGCACTTCTTTTGCACCACCGTACGTAAGCCACCAACCGTGGCTAATCGGAGTTGCGCGGGGGTGGAAGGACAACGAACTAAACGCACAACAACAACAAGCGGCAAGTTCTGAAGAAACGAGTCTGTCAATCTAGACGACGACCGCGGTGTAAAACTGCATCGTAGCTCCCGGTTGGCTCCCTCATACCGGAAGGGCAGAACGTTCCAGACGGCAGCAGCGGCAGCAGCATCCGAAAGCCGCTGAAGTCTGCCGCGGGGACCACGGGAGCGCGACGCTTCAGCCGTTCGCGTGATGGTTCAGCGCCGCCGCCACCACCACCGCCTCCTTCTTGGCGGCCTCCTCTGCGTGCACCTGCCGGTGCCTTCGCAGGTGGTGCGCGTGAGCGAACGCCCGCCCGCACTGCGCGCAAACGTGCGGCCTCTCGCCCGTGTGCGTGGCGCGGTGTCGCAGCAGGTGCTCGGCGCGCGAGAACGCTTTGCCGCAGGCACCGCAGGCGTGCCCCCGCTCGCCGGTGTGCACGGCCCGGTGCTTCTGCAGGCTGCCCAGCTGCGCGAACGCCCTTCCGCATTCGGCGCACGCGTGCCGCCTCTCGCCCGTGTGCACGGCGCGCTGGTGCGTGCGAAGGTTGCCGCGCTGGGCGAACGACTTCCCGCAGTCAGGGCAGGCGTGGGGCCGTTCCCCCGTGTGCGTGGCTCGGTGTCCCCGCAGGTGGTGGGCGTGGGCGAAGGCCCGGCCGCAGTCGGGGCAGGCGTGCGGACGCTCGCGCGTGTGCGTCGTCTGGTGCCGCTGGAGGTGCTCGAGGCGCGAGAACGCCTTCTC